CCTTATATTTCGGTTCGTGCTTTCTCTGAGTTTCTGAAAATATTTTTTTCAGATTCAGCATCAAAAACTGAGCCTAGACGAGTTGTTAAATCGGCTTAAGACCTCGACATCTTTTCACAGTGGCACTTCAAATCACACCGAGTGCAATGCGCATAAGTCGTTTTTGTAAACGTATCAAGTTTTTTCGACTGAAGATCAGGGTTGATTTGAATTGTTTTGTACGTAGAACCTGGAAATATGACACAAGTTTATCATTGATAATCACTCAGTGGGTCGTTTTCTTGAATAAATTATGGTCGGGATATGTTTCTATTAAAATAAGTAAACCTGTATTTTTAAGAAAACATGTTCAGAACTTTTTCGAAACTAACACGTACGGGCACGCTTCAATTTTATATGCTACATCTCGCGTCCAGTCACCCATTTTCGGGTTGCTAATTATTCTGAACAAACGTAATTCTTGTCGTTTTGTTTCATTCGGACACGCGCCTGAGACGAGATAATTTTAATAATTGATCGAAAAAATCCGTTCAGAGGCTCTTTTAACAGATTGTTTAGACTGCGTTTCGTCATGTCGCCCTACCATTATTCATAGACGCCCTTTCAGACGCAACAACTTCCAGGGAGAAGGAAAAACTTAAAAAAGGTCAAAGAGATTGTGGTTTTATGTAGATATTGTTCCGTACAAATTCCGTTTCCAAGAATTTCATCCGTTTTTGAAGCTAATTATCATTTTAACAATCAGACTATTCTGTAAATAAAGAAATAAAAACAGTAGGAAAACTATATAATGTTGTGATGATAGTGTTAAATTACTAATAGCTTTTACCAATGTTCAAGTAGGGTTCACTGTAATTAACAAGCACATGCAAACTCATGGCGCAATAATTAATTGCTTTGAGTTTCGAACCGGTCAGCCTAAAGTTGTCAAATATCTCAAATTTTATGTTTTGATCTTAAGGTAAAATAAATATAATCATTATAACTAAAGATGTGTATTTTATTACTTCCTTTTATTTTCGATACACAAACAGAAAAGAAAAGTTTGTCTCGACCGCGAATCGAACCCAAGACCCTCTGGCTATAGGTCAGAAGTGTCAATGACGGTCTGACGCTAGATGAAATAATACAGAAAAATTCTAGCTTATTATCTCCTCTACTCACTGGTAGCGAAAGATCATGCAGAATCTGTATGGTTATAAGGGAAAATTAATTTTTCTAGAGATACCCAGTTTGGAGTGGGATGAAAAGTGTTTAGAGAGTACAATAAAATTACTTGATTTGGATTTAAGATGAACTTGAACTTGTTTATCGTTATTTAATTTAATTTTGTGTTCTTCATCATTTGCAAATAACACTTTATTGTTTCTGTTTCCAACAATATTAACTTGAACAAAACCAGTATGACGTGATCTCGTTTTACGGCCTGTCCAGGCGTACCAGCCAAAAAACGTAAGTCCGTAACGTTTCGTGAAAGTCATAGCTCTTCAGCCGAGAAACGTACAGAGCTGGAGAAAGTCTCATTTTGTAGCTTGAAGATTTTTCTTTCAAATGGTAATTAAGCAAATTCGAGCTCTACCTTAAACACCTCCCTATAATTCTTGCCGATAAGGCCCTTTTCTACGAAAGTGAGGTATATCAAAAACATTATATCACTTTTTCGAAATTTTCTCTTTCAGTGGAATCTTAGCGCAGCTACAATCATTTCCTGAAAGTTTTTCAGATATACCATTATTAGTTGGTTATCGAGTTTTCTACTTTTGATGCTTAGAGAGAAACGTGTTTTATGATTTTTTCTGTTATCGTAGCGTTTCAGCAAAAATTAAGTAGTTACCTAGAATTTTGATCGATTTTTTTGATCGAATGAAGTATTAGATAAGGTATCGAGATGTGAAAAGTTTTTTGTAATTGAGTTCTCTACATAATCAATTTTAGATGTGTCGGTTAAGTGTGGCTAGAGATTATAATTTTCATAACAGTCAAATGGTGAAACTTTTTCCTAATCCTATCAAGGATCCACAACAATCACTAACGCCTTACATCCAAGACCGAAATTTTTTCTTGTCATCAAATGTATATAAGCAATTAACTCAGTTACTAAAAAACAAAGCGCAGAAAGAAAGTTCAATAATAGCCAGGACAGCAAACACATCAATTATAAGTTCATCCTTTTCATTTATCTTTAGTTTTCTCATCCAAGGCGAATAATATATAGTGAAACCATGTGGAGTTTAAGATGGCATTAAAATTTTCTTTTTATAAACATCCCACACGATATTTTTGAAGTGTAGAATGTTGTTAACAAAACCAATCGAGGTCACGACTAAAACAAAATCACAAGTTGGATTTTAAATGTTTTCGCTTGTACATGTTAGAACAAAAAAAATCACATGAACGAAACAGTTCGATTAAAACAATATGGTTCGACATCAAACCATTTTAAATTGACGGATCTTTATCGAACCATTTTTACTCAAAATGGAGCAGTCACCTTGATATCGCACTTCGGTCAAACTATGAAAAGGTTTCATCTAAATGGCAGAACCCATGAAGACTCAGTCTGCATCCTTTTTCTATAGAGAGAGTAGGAACCTCGGACTTGCACTGCTCTGTAGAGGGATGAAGAAACAATTTGGGCTATCTAACTATATAAAAGAAATACTTTCAAATAGGGCTGGCTGTTTACTTATTATTCGGCGTTACTTTACCAAGTAAAGTAACAAGAATTTGTTACTTGTTACTAGTAACGGTAATGGTAAACAGCCAGTCCTACATTCATAGTTACATCTTAATTAGAGGTGAGTTCCTCAAACATAGATAAGATACCCTGGAAAGTTATCGTAGCTCGTCATTATGTCTTATACTGACCATTGCAATGAAAATATGTCAGTTCTTCGAAATAGTACGAGAGAGTGATATGTACTTTGAGCTAAGAAGTACTTAATTGTGATTCTTTGAATATTAAGTAGCGCCTATCATGTGCAACACCAAAAATTGACTGCATGTATCTGTCACAGAGTGATGTAACGATCAAAACGGAGAAATTCAGCTACTGTCTCTCACTAATGACGCATTATTTTCGTGATTTATAGTCAGTCAACCATGACGAGAGGAAAAAACCATGCGATATTAAATGAATCTTAAGGTTATAAAAACAATAATATAGAAAAGAACATATCACGTTCCCCATTAAATTATCTATGGCCGCAAGTAATGCAGCTTCTGCACCGTTACAAAATCGCGAGCGTCACTCAATGCCACTTGAAAAAATAAAATATGTAAACCTCGAACCATTTTCACTAGTCTGGCTCGATTCAGAAGTCAATAAAACTCCAGAAAATCATAAATTACAGATTCGTCTTCGTGAAATAATTCATTGGTTAAAAACATTTTCAAATGTAAATAAATGTGAGGAATATATTCGAGAACAAACTGATGAAGCAATTGTCCTCATTGTCAATGGTAGATTAGGTCAGGAATTAGTTCCAAGAATACACGATTTACCTCAGATATCATGTATTTATATATTCTGTATGGATAAACATGCAAATAAAATATGGGCACATAATTATAAAAATGTAAGTGATACTTGTGCTAAATGTTTATCACAGATAATTTTCTCATAAATCTCTTCAGGTAAGAGCTGTTATTAATCAATCGGATAAACTCTTATATAAACTAGCTAAACACCAATTTAAACGAGAACGTGCTGATGAACAACTAACCATGAGTTTGTACAATGGTGGTGAACATTTAACACTAAAAATTGGACAAAATCTTACTTTCGTATGGGTTCAGCTTTTAACAGATGTTTTATTGAATGTGAAACAAAATCGACAATGGGGAATTCGTGATCTTGTCGCTGTATGTGAGGAATTTTATTATGGAAATGAGTCAGAACTGCATAAAGTTAAGGAATTTAAGCAAACTTATTCACCAGAATCATCAATTTGGTGGTATAGAAGACATACATTTGTACATCGTCTCATCAGTAAAGCTTTGAAAACTCATAATATTGACCTTTTATTTACATGTCGTTTCCTAATTAGCGATATGTTTAAAAGATTACAACATTTACAAAAAAAATTTTCACAACGTGTGATCAAGGTCTATTGTGCTCATGATATAGCCAATGACTTTTTGAATGAAATGAGAACATGTATTGGCCGATTTTTGTCAATGAATTGTTTTCTGTGTGCAACCGATAATCGTAAACAAGCATTAGATTCAATTATTTCAACGAATGAACATTCACAACCGATCATATTTGAGATTGAGGCTGATACACGTTTTGACTCAAAACCATTTGGCGATATATCAAAATTGGATAATATGGTAGAATCAAATCAAGTTTTATTTATGCTTGGAAGTGTATTTCGAATTAATAATGTTAGTTTCGATCAAGATGAAAATATTTGGATAGCCAAATTGGTATTAGTTGATGATAATACTGAGGATGAATTGAAAGATATTGGTAAGTTAATTAAAAATGATTCAACAAAAGATTCAAATATGATTACACTTGCCGTACTCCTATGGGAAATGATGGGTCAAACAGATAAAGCTGAAAAGTACATTAATCGTCTGTTATATGAATTACCCAAACATGATAAAAATATTCCATTTTGTTATGATACACTTGCATTAATAGCTAATAATACTAAGAAAGATCCTGATTTAGCTATTATTAACTATAGCAAAGCGGTTGATATACGTTTACGAGAGCTCGATTCAAATCATCCAGATTTAGGTAGTTCATATGTATCAATAGGAGATATTTATCAAAAAAAACAAGATTATGATCAAGCAGCCGAATATTTTGCTAAAGCTCTCAATTTATTTGTTGAACATTTTGGTTTAAATCATACGCGTGTTGCAAATTTATTACACATTATGGGTGATTTATTTCATGAAAAAGGTAATCTTGTGTTATCTCTCCTATTTTATAAACGAGCATTGGTTGTTAGTGAAGACTGTCTGGATTCGAATGATCCTCGTCTTGCAGATTTATATAATAATATTGGTCTACTGTACAGTAAAAATCAAGAATTTGAATTGGCTCTTCAAAATTACGAGGAAGCATTGAAGATTTATACTCAAACATTGCCATTGAATAGTCCTGATTTGGGTCGTCTCTACAGTAATATTGGAAAAGTATACGAATACGGTGGAAAATATGAATTGGCTCTCTTAGCCTATAATACATCTGCACAGATACGACGAAATTTATATCCAGCTTCAAATCCACTGGTTATCGATATTGAAGAGAATATTCAACGAGTGAACGGGAAAATGCAGTAAGTATTCTATTATGTTCTCTTATCTAAATAAACTGTTATCTCTTAACCTCTTTTCTATTTCAGGAAATCGTAAAGGCAGATGATTTATTGTACAATACTTTTCACACACGAGATTCTTGATTTACGAAATGAGTTTTAATCGAGATTGATGGAAAGAATATGCTCATTAAACAAGTAAACTATAATTTATGAAAAGACATTTAAAGATGAGTGATCTATATTGACAGTCGTTATCTATTGATAACAAAATATAATTTTGTTTATCACCTAATGCTTATTTTATCTCGGATTACAAATAACAAATCACTATTTTGCTTCGTTTTTTGTATTGTTTTCTTTTTTATCGGGATACCTCGATAAATCATTTTCTATACATATACTTGTTTTATGTGTAATAAAACAATCTTAACGTTTCACAATACATTTTGATTATGAAATAATTTCATTACATATCACACCTGTTCTTAATCAGAAAGAGCAAATTTGATATAAGCCTAATAATATTTAAAAGCATACATTTCAATCTTTCTACATTCATTTTGAATAAGTACATGTATTTCTTTAAGTAGACATTTTATGAACAGTTGCTAGAGTTCTGCTGGTTTAATCCGATCCCGATTCCGAAAACTTTTTTTCGGATTCGGGTTTGTTTCCGATCCCGATTCTTCTAGTTCAATATAGGCGGAGATAAGAGACAATTCTAAACCAATAAAAAAGAATGGAAAATAAGGAAAACGGACAGATGTTTCGCACTAGACGTACAACTGACCAAGTGAATTTTATTTTTGTACCTCTACGAGTAGAACTTCACTAATGTTAAAATAAAAGAGAGCACTACTTCACTAGAAAAAAAATATTTTGATTTCGAGCGGGTTTGCGACGGGTTTTATTTGAAAAAGTCGGGATTCCGAAATAGTTCTGGCGGGTTCGGGACGGGTTTCAATCTACGAGACCGGTTCGGGATCGGGTTCGAAAATCTCGAACCCGCATGACTCTAACAGTTACGCTTTATATACGAAACTGAAAAACACAAAACTAATAGTATGTTTGAATCAGAAACTTGTGAACTCAACTTGTGAATTGACGTCCTATTGTGCTTTTTCCTGCTTTACATTGACCGTGCTAGCTTGTTACAACTTTATGTTGACCAGTTTGTTCCGAGGTAGTGTTATCCTTGTATTATATCCAATAATGTGCTGAACTGATGTTCGATAACGACTGTGTATACGACAGCACAATATAACCCCGTCATGTCTTTTGTGGTATTTGAGCAATAAAATCACTATCAGGGCCAAAATGACATTTTATGTATAAACGGCTCTGTTTCAATTGATATGAACGAAAGAATAATGTCAGCAGTTGTTCTTCATTTAACAGACGAAATGATGCCTTTTCCGAATCAGTAGCAACCCAAAGAGCTTTCTTTACCTCATGGCGACAGGCGATTTGTTGACGTTGATAACTGAAGCATTTTATCGGCAAGTTGATCATGCAAAGGTTTTTCTTCTACAGATAGTACAAATAATGGTTTACAAAAATAATTCAATGCACCTGAAACTGTATATGAGTCATTTGCAACTTTAATGTGCAATTCGTGAAAAATAATGAAAGTGACTTTAAACAAAATTTGATTAGCACATCTTGTTCTCCGTCGTTTTCTGAGTCTAGAACCCAATTTTCCCGACTACCACATGCGTAGCGACTGAGATAAACCTCAACAAACTTCGGCAGGTTCAGTTCTCTAGGTTTTAGGCAATAATGATCTCAAGGTTGCTTTAAAAGTGGATATATCATACACCATTCGATAGGTCTCGTAGAGAGCTATCGATTCATACCATATGTAACTTAGTCTGACCTGCACAACAAACGTTAGATCGTTAAAACCCTAATTTTGAATGTGTATTCAAAAATAAAACGCAAAGCTTGTAGCCTACAGGTGGTCAGCCACTTTGGAGAAACTCGACATCAAAAGTACGTAAATTTATGGATAGCTAAGTTCAGCAGAATATAAGGAGTCAAAATTGATCTTATAACTTGGTTTTTGACTAAAAGAACCGGAAAAACTTTTAGAATAATCTCGATCTACATTTCGCGGTATATTGTAATTTTTTCCTACTTAGGTATGTTCTAGAAACTTGCAAATTGCACCACTTGTACGACTTTTGACACTCTTTCCTATGGGTCAACGCTGTTGCAGTCAGGCAAATCCTTGTAAAACAGCGGATGTCAAAAGTTGGAAAATCTCGATCTACAAAGTGAACGTAAAACTCTGTTTTCCATTTTTTCGCCCGATAAGAAAGACATTTAACAAAGCATTTTTACTCAGTTAGATGCAGCCGCCTTTACTCTTTCTTATGAACACCTCACACTCTTAAAAAAACGTTTTCTCAAGTGCCCAGTTTTATTTTTATCTTGATCTACAAATTGTCTGTAAAACAATTTTCGCCATAGACGAGCATAAACAAAAAAACAAAACAAGCATGACGGCACACAGTTTGATAGAGTATTAAATGCTCTACAAAATGTACTATTTGCTTTTTGCTTTTCGTTCTTTCTTTTGTTAGAAAAACTTACTTTCCTCTCCAACTCCAACTCTCTCAACAAAAATCTCAACCCCAGTTCAACTCCGGTTGCGCACTTTTGTAAGGAAAATTTTTCGGTTTTTAGCAGGCTTCTGGACGTTTTTGAGCTTTTTCGGGCAGGAAAGCGCAAAGAACTTCCGAATTCACTCGTGAATACAGCCACTCAATCGTTTAGAAGATCAGTTTACAATTATTGAATATTTCCGAAAATGCAAAACGGAGTTGAGAATAAAAATTCAAAAACTCAACTCCAACCTACTAAAATCTCAGCTCCAACTCCAGCTCAACTCCGGAGGTGGAGTTGTCTAGCCCTGAATTATTTCGAATAAGAGCATAGCATGATGGTCAGATATGAAAAATGGTACATGACGATGAATTAAAACATGTTTTCAGCGTCAAATTACAAAATGTGTAAAATAAGAGCGGAATAATTATATCCAACCACTCATGTATAACATTTCTTGAACTTATTCGACAACAAACGAAAGTAATAGGTGGATATTAATTGCTACTGATCACACAACAAAACGGCCGATAACTGGAGTGGTACCAAATGCTAACATGAAGTTGTTGCTAAATTTATTCATGATGAAACAATTTTAAAATTTGATTGTCCAACGGAAATAATTACTGATCATGAATATAACTTTATAAAAGCAATATTAAAGTCCTATTTAAAAACGATTGATGTTAAACATGTCTTAATATCAGCTTCTCATCACGTTCTAATGTTGTTATTCAAAGATTTAATCGTGTATTTGGTGAAGTATTAGGAGAATATGTTGGTGATAATACAATTAATAAATGGAATGAATATGTGGATTGTACATTATTTACATGTAGAGTGCGACAACATTATACAGCAGGTAAAACATCTTATTATATAGTTGTGATAAATTAATAGCGATAATTGACGATGATGGTGAAAATCATACAGTATCCTGTAGAACACATTAATAAATTAAATCAACACCGTGACATTGTGCAAAGACGTTTAAAATCAAATGTTACTCAAATGAAAGCCTATTATGATAAAATCGGATAAAACTAGATTTAACCCTTTGAGTACCATAGCTCGACCATGAGAGCTAGGGACTTTTAATTTTGTGTGGTCATAGCTCTTACCGAATGCTGATTACCCACCAAGTTTGGGCCTCTTTTACTAGCTGGTTGGTGAGATGTAAGCGTTTCATTTCTTTTCCCTAAAATGCTAATAACTCCTGATCCAAGAGAGGTAAACGCTTTTCCTTTTTACCAAGATGCAGCACTGCCTCTCATCTACCTATGATATGAATTTTAAGAGTTAGCTCTTAATAGTTACTGAAATACAGCTATTTTGCGATCGAGGGTCACATTAGAAGTTTGAGACCCTCTGCCAAAAAAATTCATAGCTCAGCCTAGGAGTATTATTTTCACGTCAAAATTGCACCAGATACTCTAAAATGTCTTTAGATTATTCACACAAAGTATGAGAATTAACTATTGTATGATTCGAGATATTCATTGAAAATGAGCACCCGCTATTGAAACATACACAGGGAGCAGAGGTGGGCGATGGACTATCTTTAGTTCCCTCGCGAGGATCGCCTCGCAGACTTCCTGCCTCGTCATCGTCCCGTACCTCGTCAAGTTTCGAGAAATCTACTTCGCGAGGATCGCCCCGTAAGCTTTCTACCCCGTCACCGCTTCGTCCATCGTCAACCATTAATAAAATAGGCGTGTTACACCAGAAAGTTGATCTAGGCTATCTCCGAACCCCAGAATCCTATGGAGCTGTCCTCTGGTTTTTAAGAGTTTCTCAACGTGCTCTTTCTTTTCTTCTCTAGAAAGTTTTCTCCGAAATGCGAAAGGAGGACTTCTAGAAAACCATGGTTTTTGGGCTACTTGTACTTCTTAAAAAGGGTTTTAAAAATCACTGTTAAGACATGGAACATTTTTAATAACATATTTGGGTTCAGCGTCGCAAGGCGAACATTCTGAAAAAAGTCAAGTCTCCAACTAAGAATTTCAATTTTTGAATTGAATTTAAAATTTAAAAAATTCAACATTTTTTAAAATAAAAACAGCTCAGCTCACAAAAGATATAGAAACTTGGTTCAAACGCAGTTATATAGAGAATTGAAAACTGAATAAACGTAAGGGTTTGGCAAGATTCCAATACCAGGTGATCATGATTCTTCGGGATCTCTAGAAAACTCTTTTTACTTTCACTTTAACTTCACTATTTTTGAATGTTAAACTTTAGTACTGGACTTTTTCGACCTTCTAAAGGTCAAAAACAATCGAAATAAGATATTCTAGCACTAGCGATGATATTGGCTGCTATACGAAAGATAGCCACCTTCATGTACTCAACTGCTATAGGTCACATTGATCTTGTTTCTCTTCTCACGCAGACAGACTCTTATAAACCGAAGGACAGCTCCATAGGATTCCGGGGTTTGAAGATAGTCTAAACCAACTTTCTGGTGTAACACACCTATTATATATGTACAGGACACGTAACAGAAAGATAGAAGAAAAGATAAACAAAATTAGAAATAACCTTTACACTATACAACTGTTAGAGTTTTATCTTCAACTTGAGGAAACTGCTGTGTGTGTGGTAGATGTCATGTACTAAACAAACATATTTTTCAAGTGAACTAGAAAGAATTCCGCTCAGCGTCTCCATTTCGTCTTTCGTTAAAAAGAACAAAATGTCCCCCGCGGGGCTCGACTCGTACAGTTCTTGCCTCGTCCAGCTTTCAAAAAATCTCCCTCACGAGGACCGCCCCGTGAGGAATCGCGGAGCCTCGCGAGGGTCCTCGTCATCGTCCACCTCTGATAGGGGGGCAAGGAATCAAGGATCGTCCATTCTACCATATCTTCTGTGGTTAATGTTGATGATTAAACGTCATGCCAATATACGATCGATTGCTCATTCGTTTGATGAGCGATTGTTCGAGAACTAATTCATTGAATTCATTTCCTGCCTAGATAACGTGACGCCAACATAATTAAATTTATTATTGCAGATATATTTACCCTCTTGAGTTGTAATTGTCTCATCTCGAAAGTATACAGCAATAGCTTGTCGAATTTGAATTGAAACCGTTAAATCGTTGATGAAACTAAGCATTTTAGAGAAATGCCGCCATAATGTTTCGTCACTTATTGCTCTAGAGTAAAAGGCTCTGTTCATTTCATAATCACTATTTTCAGGAGGTACGAACAGCAGTGTCGACTGCTATTGTATCATTACTTGTGTTTCTGTTGTAGAACATTTACGAATATTTGCTTATCATTATAAAATAGTGTAATGCCACAAGTTGCGCCAATAGAGTCAGAGCATTCTAGACTTATATACGGACTAGACAAGAAACACTAGATACTCATCATTATATCGATTGGTATAGCGATTCTTGTTACCATAATTCTGGCGCTAGTTTTAACAAGAAAATCAGGTACGTAACTCAAAAGTTATTCAGCTTTTAATTGTAAATTATCTTCCAACAGATCTTGTAATTAGTCTTCTGAAAACTATTTTCGATGACTTTTTGGCCCTACTCTTTTCGTTATCTCATCTTTTCCGCTTTTCTCTAAATAATTTTATCCTGGCGAATCGAATATCGACTGGGACTACTTCGCTAATCACTATTACCACAACTCAACTAACAGTGTTGGCAACAATCGTTAGTACAACCCAAACTTCGACAAGTAAGGTGACGTTCTAGAACATCTCACACAATTCTTGTCTTCGCACCGTCGATTACACCTAGAAACGTTCTTCCATGATTATTGTATGTCGAGTAATTGGTTGCCTTTTCTTATTAGCTGTTTGCACAAATTCTTGTCAGAATGGTGGCACATGTTCAGGTAGCTTTATTCAAATTTGTAAGCAAACATATAATAATTCTGGAAAACTTGTTTTAAGCACTTGATACTTGCATATGCACATCTGGTTATACAGGCAGTTTATGTGAAACGGGTGAGTTGTCATCGTTTGTGCCGCTGTCGTTGTTCATAATTTTGACTATAATTTGTTCGCTCCGACTTATTACAAGCTTATCGTTTTGCATAGATGGTGTAATGATGCCATTTCTTTGAACTGGTTTAAATTCTTAAGGACCCCAAACACACATAGGAAAGAACTCTTTTATTTTACAGCCATTTTGATAGAACTTTCAGTGAATATGTCTCATAAGAAGTTAAACTCTGAAAAACGTTTTCAGCTTGCTACCTTGCTTTTAAAATATGGGTAGTCCATGGATCAAGGATGAGGGGTGCATCATGAACATTTTGCCGAATGGAGAGTATTTTTTAAGCTTTTTGACGCTTGTATGTATAGGATGCAAGAAATCAATTATTTTTTGATGAAAAAGAGGAAGAGAGAATTACTATCATTCTGAATTGGAATAAAAAGCAAGAGAATATTTTCCAAAACGGAACACGGTATCCGAAATAAGTTTTACACGATCGAACGGCCTTTTCTAGGACTCTGAGGGATTCTCTACCTTTATAAAACCGAAGGGTTTCATAGGAAATAATTCAGGTATCCGAAAAGGTATTTTGTAAAATCGACCATCGAATATGCTGATATGCCTTAGGTTTTAGAAAAGTCTGAGGAAAAAGAGTTTTAGATAATACCTTGCTCGGTATTCGAGGATGGCGTTTTGGATACGCAGATGTTTTTTCTAAGGATCTTCGAAAGTTAAAGTTTCCTACATGTATTTTCGAATACGGAAAGGGGTCTTCAAGGTCATTCCGAATACAACAAAAGAGTTTTCGAAAGGGTTTTCGAAGCATTTCGGGTTTTATAGCATACGTTATTTTTTGAAGTGTATAGACGTCCGATATCACGCGATTCACCGTTTCGAAATTGTTGTTATTGTTGAACAACGGAAGGTTTAATTTTGTTGTATTGGAAGTGGTGGCGCTTCAATCTGATTGTTTTCTTCTTCGCTCGAAGAGTATTGTCGTAATTGTGTTGATAAACGAGAAGGAGGAGTTCGAACTAATAAAAGGACGCTTCGAGCTGCTATGTGCTGTGTTGGAAAAGAAGAAGCTGAGTCTTTGACTTTTTGTAGCCACTCTTATTACTTTTATAGAATCTTCTCATTTGCTGAGAAAATCTAGCAACCTGCTTGTGTAGCAGAAATCTTTCAGATTTTAATAAGATGGGCGAAGAAAGACTTTCCTTCAGTTGCTGTGTGTGTTATTTTACATATAGTCATGAACTGGACTAAAGCTAAATGAGTTGAGGATAACTCCGTAAGGTATTACTTTTCGGAAAAGAATAGAAGGCATCTGTCGCAAAAGTTCCAAGGTACGTTAGCTTCTCTCCGGAGAAAGCAAAGGCTGAAGCAGATCAATTTGTTTCTGTTATTTTATTTTCTTTCTTACAAGAAATGATATTTTTGAATTTATGAAAAGAAAATGCCATTTTCTAGAAAATTGTTAATTTTTCTGAAAGTAGGCCGATTTTATGGAAAATCAATCAATAGATGTTAGAAATTTTTATAGAAAAACGACGTTTTCCTCTCTACAAAATCGATATTTCAGAAAATTGAATGCATTCCCATGAAATAATTTTGATACCCTAACGAAGGTTAGCACTCGTTAAAAGAAATAATAATTTAACGCATGCTCACAAGTTAGATCTCTGAAATGAGGGCAAACGTGTTATCTTCCAAACTTGTGTGAGACCAGAAATGTGTCGAAATTAATACTAATTTGTTAAAACATAATTTCATTGTAAAAAAATTAAAAGTTGGGTTAAAACCAGTTAATCGAGAAAAGTTTAAAATTATAATGCGACATGTAAGCGGATTAACGCGTTAAAACCGCGTTAAATGTTTCATATTCAGTGGTTTTAATGAGTTCAGTTTGTAACGTTTGCAGAAAGCATTCAAACTCGTTTAGTTTTAACCCATTCGAACTATACGGTTTTTCAAATGCGTTAACATTCGTAAGTCATCCTTTTTAGACATGTTGTTCAATCATTCTGACAACAGAAACTTAATACTGTAAAATGCGCTCACGTATATATTGATGCCAAAAGTCATGAGGAAGTGACTTCTAGGAGCCGCTGCACAAGAGTCATGCCAACACATGCTCAATATCATCTCGGCTTTTTTTCAAACCAATTTAGTTGTGTAGAGCATGTGTGAAAACCGTTAAATCCAAGTTTTTAGCCTTAGTGTACTCTTCCTTCCTAGTACATATGATTTTTTTTCAGACGAGCAAAATTCGAGAACTTATCTTAAAAAAAACGGACATTCTTGATTTCCTGCTACTGAATACTGGTTGTGCAACATAAGTGCAACATAATACTGGTTCGAAAGCGTATAAAGACATCATTTCCACAAGTGAATTTGAATCAACTTGTCCAAGAAACGTCAAACAAACTAATATTCCTATTTGGAGCAGCAGATTTTCAAAGAGTCGTTTGAGAAATATGAAATGGGCCTGTCGAGTCTACATAGAACAGAATACTTCAGGATCTCTCTCTAGAAAAAATTCCTGTGCCATTTCGAAGAGATCACTTAGCAGTCGAGGTCAGTCACAATGCTTGAAATCGTGAATCGAAAAGGGGGCTTCTCAGCAATGGTGCGGTCAAAAGAAAAAGAGGGTATGATGGATGGATGAATCTAATAGAGGATGATGTCGAACAAACGAAGAACGCCATAATTCGGGGTAAAAAATATCATCAGCTGACGAATTTCGAGTAGAAGTAATAGAAAATGCATAATGCAATCCGAATGTGCTCAACAGAGTGGACAAATTTCTACTATTGAATTGGAATTAAAATCGCCAGCTGGTATAGTACTTTTCCCCGAGCCCGAGCGGGTGAGAATAAATTGCTCGAGCTCTAAGAAACAATCTTTCGATTTACATGATGGAATCCTATATGAATTAAAAATTAGCAATGGGATGGCCGAATACAGAAGGGAATTGCAAATAGTCTCAAGTTTTTTAAGGACTGACACGAAGTCGATGTTTTAAATTAGCTCGATCGTAAGGGACGAATCCACCTCTTCTTTCCTCAATTAAACTATATTGCTTATAGAGAAAATAGCCAGGGACTTGAATTTCAGCATCTTTGATGGACGAATTTAAAAATGTTTCTTGGATACACATAATTCCTGGTTTAGCTTCAGCAGCAATAATCTAACCGCATCTATGTGCAGTTCTAGGCTGTCGATGTCGTGAGACAAGATAAGTAAAGAATTTGAAAGAATATCATTTTCAGTGAAAGAAGAAAAATAAGCAGGAGAATCACTACTTAGCTGGACAGTCCGAATCAGAGCTGATCACCTGCATAATTTTTCACCACTGTGCGATGTCGCGCAGGGGTAAAATAAAATTTATCCGCGTTGCAGTTTGCAGGTTACCAAAGAAATCTTTTGTTCTGCACAGGCAGAGGTTGAGGGTGAAAACTTCTGCATTGCCCTGCCCTGCAGGTTGACTGCAGGTGGATCCTAAGGCGAGGTATAACAATTTTTTTTCCTAGTGACCACTATCATCCTGTATTACACACTGATAATTATAGACTGTATCATCAGTTACGATTCACTATCCTTGTTCTATATTTTTTCCTTTCTGTTATAGTCTTTCGTCATCTTCTATATACTATATCTAGCGCGCATAGTAAAAGAAACATTACATACACTAGGGTCACACTACAGCCTTAATTAATCATGATTAACACTATTTTAATCACGGTTAAATAAACAATGTGACCGCGCTAATCATGATTACAGGCTGATCGTGATTAAGAACAGCAAATAAATACGGAAAGTGCTCTAAAATCGGCTCATTTTTCTGTCAGTCAATTGAACGATGAACACTGTTACTTTACTAAATGTTATTAAACAAAGAAAAGTGTTTGCGGCAAAAAGAAAAAACAGAAAAGAACATGTGCCGAGCCCCGATATGCTGCTATTATTTCTTCCGTTGGTGAATTTTTTCACAAAATCCGAACGATCTGTTTGACAATGTCAGAGAAACAAAGAGTTTTTTGAAATCGAGGTTCAAAAATTGGATGATGGTGCTGTCAAGAAAAATTTCCTTGTGAGTAAACAAGTATTTCAATATTTGTTGACAGCAGTCGGTATGGATATGACAAAGCAAGACACAAAACTGCGTTCAGCAATATCAGCACCTAAACAATTAGCTATTGCATTATACACAATGGCATCAATAGCCGAGTACGATCGCTAATTTGTTTGGGTTATCCAAGCCTAGCGTAATCAGCATTTTTGATGAATTCGTCTATGGAATGGTTAAAAAACTTAGAGAAAAATTTATTAATTTTCCAACCGGGAAAGAATTAAAGAGAGTTGTGATCGGGTTTCAAGAAGTTTGGGGATTTCCACAACGCGATGGTAAGTAGTCAAATCAATTATCTCCACGGGTTTTAAGTGAGCGTTAAATATAGGTGCTGTTGACGGAACCCATATCTCAATCTTGGCTCCAGAAAATAATCTGAAGGATTATTATAACCGGAAAAATTTTCATTCTATCCATGCTCAGCTCATCGTTGATCATGAATACATCATTCGTTCAATATTAGTTGAATGGTCTGGTTCTGTTCATGATGCCCGAGTGTTTGGAAATTCAGCAATATACAACAAAATAAGAAATGGTGAAATATTTACACGATCATTCGAACAAAACTTAGAAGGGCAAGAAATCCGGGTGTTCTTAGTGGGTGATTCAACGTATCCATTAACGGAACATGTGATGAAGCCGTATCGTAACATGAATCTTACTCAAGATCAACAACAATTCAATTATCGTCTTAGCCGCACTCGTGTCGTTGTTGAATGTGCCATAGGGCGATTGAAAGGGAATTTTCAGATATTACGTAAACAGGAACGATCCCACTAGGCTTGAATTTTTACTGAATTAGGACGATGGTAATGTCTTTCGAAAAGACTTGATTTAACGACAGCAAGGATACCAAACGTGATATTAGCTGCTGTGATTTTGCACAATTTGTGCGAAATGAGTAAGTCGACATATGTTAATTTTGATAGTGCCGGTACAAACCAGATTCAACAGCTTCCACTCAATTTTGTAACAGGAAAACAATTAGAGAAGTAGTAAGGACAACACTGGTCAAATGGTGCAAGAAAAATCCGTTAAAATGAGCATTACCACACAACCCAAGATAAACAACTGAATTTACTGCTTTTATTTTTCTCTTATGAAACCAGTTGTCATGTTCTGTTAATTTTTTAATAAAGAAATATTTCAACAAGTGTAGCAGTAAATAACAACAAGGATAAAAATACTACTCATCAAGTAAAATGAATATCACTCAGCGTCTGATACATTAATGGATACGTGTCTTTCACATCTTGTGAATTTGCTGTTGATATCTTCTGCGACGGTAACGATGAAATCGTAGCTGGCAGTGACGTTGGAGGTATGACTTGAGCACAAAGATTGTGATCTGCCTGATGATACTGTTGAACGTAAGACGATGATGCTGGCGGGCGTGAGAATTGAGCTAATACTTGAAAGAGACGTAGCTCGTGTTCTTGATCCTGTTTTAGACGCTTCGTTTCCTCTTCCAGACGTTTTGATTCGAGCTCCATTTCAAATTTCATTCGTTTCTCTTCAATAGACATCTGAACTTGCGCATATCCTTGTATAAACTTTTCCACCGGTGGCAATTTTTTTCTTTTATTTATTTTGCCTGATCCTTGTCCGCCGGCTTAATGCTTGATTCTCGATGGTGTTGACGTAGATGAAGACGATGGTTGGGACAACGATTGTACCAATGTTTGATCGTTAACATCTTTCATTTTATATCAGAGGAAAATGACATATCAAATGATATAAGCGATTACGGATAAAACGTTTCTCTACTTCATCTTAAAATGTCTAGTAGACATACAAAATAACTATTAGTTAGCTTCTTTTAGTTAAGAGATCATTCTGACCTTCAGTGTGATCTCCTGGTCTCCTCTCTCTTTTTGTTCTTCACACAAAAACGTCTTTCCCTGCATTGAATACAGGTAAAATCTTCTCCCCTGCAGGGAGTGCAGGCAGAAAAATATTCTTCTTTATCTGCCGGCCGTTAGTGGAAACATTTTTCATTCACTCGCAAACTGCAACCTGCCTGCACTGCCTGAAGGTCTAACGGGTGCGCCATAAATAACGGCGCTGTTAGTAATCTAAATCTTTCTCCTCTTTCTTAGACTTAGTCGAACTGATTCTACTACCAAAAGATTCCGCGTTCAATTCTCTACAAAATGGCATATAAAAGCCAGAACTTTGAGATGTTATTTCAGCTGAACAAAATGTGATGTACCTCGAAAACGTGAAAAATTTAACTAAAGAAAGCAGTATTTCGCCGATAATAAATCAAATTATTTAGTCGTGTCGAACCGAATATACACAATTGTAGCCCATGAAATTCTCTATTGATTGGCAGCTAAGGCGAATTTCTTCCCTTTATTTTGCGCTTACAATCATGGTTTTTATAAAAGCCCTATCATTGCTTTTTCGAGTTGCATGTTAGGGCTATTCGCAGATTGATCATATTTCGGACAAAAGTAAACCGATTAAGTTCGTTCAAGTGTCATTTAGGAAAGAACATTGTTTCCTACTAACTTCACATGTAAACAGTATGAAATAATTTTGTTTTGAAAAAAACGAGATCATCACATTGACATTTCGCTGATTTACTACGGCAAGTAATTATTTAGCCATTTTTACCGGACTGACGCAAGAGGGGGAAATGAATTCTGTTCTGTCAGATAGAGAACATCTGAACGTGTAGAGAAGCAACTTAGGATACGGCTTGTATCCCTCTTTTAGCATAAATTTCAAATTAAAAAAACTTAGTAGAAAACGATTACATTTTTCATGTTTTCGAGGTACATCACATTTTGTTCAGCTGGAACAACGTCTCAAGGTTCTGGCTTGTCTTTAATATGCCATTTTGTAGAGAATTGAACGGAGAATCTTTTAGTAGTAGAATCAGTTCGATTGAGTCTAAGGAAGAGGAGAAAGATTTAAATTACTAACAGCGCAGTTATTTATGGCGCACCCGTTATGTCGACTTTGCTCACATCAACGTATGCTCTCCAGTAGATAATGTGTGAGTAGATCTGAGCTGAATTCGTCTGGATGAAGTTCGTGTCGCAGATGATCGCCCCAATCGATATCAGTGATGTTGACGTTGAGAGCAGTGATAAGTTGTTGATGTAGCATCGAATTAAATTCGGCTATTTATAGTGACGTCATTCTATTCAATTAGTTGCTATAATTTTTTATTAGATTTGATATTTCTGATTATTACTATAGTTGCCTGCTTGTTTTTTCTTTTCAGATGAACTGAATAGAGTACATATAAACGTGATATATAGATGTTGTAGGCAAACTTGGAATTCAGGCAAATTGCGAATTTGCCTAGGCAAAATTAGAATGGAAAATTAGAATGGAAAAGTCACCAAAATTTCACTGATGAAAATTGCTGTTCGTAATTTAACAACCTTAATTAACTGTTCACTTGGTTTGTCCAAATGTTGACTTTATGGATTTGTTTTATCCAACGAAAAACAGATTTTCGTTGATTTTCATACATGCCAGTAGAATAGATAAAGTCGAGTAATACCATACTGATATGTGAAATAACCGTTATTTTCATTCGAAAACTTTGTTTTGTCATTGATATCAATTAGTTCTAACGTATTGTAACCAGATAAAATCTAACATCTTTTGCGTACAAAATTAGGGACTTTTTTGTCGATAAAAACGCGATATCTCGAACAGAATTCTACATTACCAAGGCCTACATCATATAACTATTTCATAGCAAATGACAATAATCAATGGTGATCGTTTTTCATTGCATGATGATGAAGATAGTAACGGCTTTTTCTCCTG